AACCCAATGAAACCTTCATTCAACGCTTTGAAAACGGGGAGTAGCTTAGAGTGAGGGTTGACAGTTCACATTAAGGATGTTGTTTAACAACTTTTCACAAGCCGACCCTGACTTTCAGGAAATGAACATGGCAGAATTATCAATCTGAAGATCCACAATCTTATAAAAGGAACCAGTGCTCTTCTGAGAACACTCAGTGATGTCACTGTAAAGTCCATATCGCCCAATACACTGGAAAACCAATTTTGGGGGCCAGGTTCCAAAAGGTCTCTGGTCTTTAAGGGAATTAAGTCTGTTGATGGTACAGGGGGAAGAGCATATAAAAATGAATTTAGAGTTTCCCCAGACCACAAGGCAATTTGTTGTGCCTTGGTGGCCACCTACATCAAGACCAATACGTCTCTCCTGGAAGCCAACAGAAGCCTTTCAAAATTATCAAGGAAAGAGGTTTTTGTCCTCAATCCAGCTTGGGAGATATTTTGTTAGTGACACATGATCCTCCCCCCCCCCAACAATGAAGTGTTCTGTGTGCTAACAATATAGCTTAAAAAAAAAAAAAGTAAAACAAAATTCTGCATTTTTATAAAACTTGATAAAAAATAGTATTTCAAACTGTACAGTCACCAGAAGTACACAGTTATCAAAAATGCACACACGTCACTTGGCGTCTCCGGCACCTTCCGCTTTCTGTGCCTAAAGGAAAAACAGATAGTCAGCACGTTCACTAAAACTCATCTGCTCACAGTATTTATTATATGGAATCAGCCTGTTGCTAGGCTAAAATCCAGGTCTTGGTACTTAAGCACACCATGACTATACCTTAAGAACGGCTCACTTGTCAACCTTACCAAATCACCCCCCACTTCCAGCTTTAGAATTCTACAGCACCAATATGAGCGACATATCAGGACAAGTCAACATAGTAAGTGCCTTTTAGATTATGACAGACTTTCAGACTGAGGATTTCAGACAAGAGGTAAGTCACATTACGTGCAGTGACACAGACATTAAGGGGTAACAAACAGTTTGGCTAGCACTAAGTGCAGGCACACCTGACAAACAGTTGAGCCACTGTACCTGGTCTGTTTTGGCATCTCCATTTTCTGCAGGATTATTCGCATCCTTGCCCGCGTCGGCTTTCCCCTTCTTCCCCTTGGGTACTTTCTCTCCCTTCTAAAGGGAAGGAAGGAAGGACAGAAGAGTCTCTCAGCTGTGTTACTGTGATATATACCCCCTCCACTTGTAGTCCTCCAGAGAGTTGTTCAAATTAAGGAAGGACTTAATACTCTTTTAAATAGTCAAGTGTAGTTTTCTGTACCCTTGAAAAGGACACTAACACAAGTTATCAGGAACAAGGCTATCAAAATAACTTAGGACACTGAAGGAGTCACTGTTTTGTTGAATTGGTTAAGGTCGGGAAGGACAGTTCTCTGTCAAAATTCCTAATCTAGTATTTGCCTGACTGTGTGTCAGTCCAGCTTACCTTTGCAGGGGCCTTTTTAGGCTTGGGCTCTGGCTTTGGAGGAGCAGGTTTCTTATTTTGGTAGGCAGAGGGAAAGAGGAAACCATCAGTACCTCAGACCAAAAGAACAACCCATCAAACCACAGTTTAGAAAACTAATTCTCAGGATTGCCTTTCTTTTACAATGTTCAAATGCTCTTTCACTTTAGTCAGAAGCATGAGAAGGACTCAGGACAACAGTAAACACCTCTCGATGTGCAACATCACCAGTAGCTTCCTCAAAATCAGTCACAATCTATAATTCAACGCAATCCAAGACATCCCCCAAGTTGTTCCCAACCTCACTCAGGTAAGGATGAGGAAATTGAAGCATGCACACTTACAGCAGACAATCTTGCAGATCTTCTCTGTGGCTGGTACAAAAGAAAGAAAGAAAAATAAGCACACGGTCCTCCACCAGTCCACTCACATCAGAGAAAATGAACGAAACAATTTTTGGTTAATATTCTAGACCAAGGCTGTGGTCAATCACTATCAACAGGGCCTGGTGGTCTTTACCTCGCAAGGCTTTGTGCTACATGCCCTTAATGGAGAAGACTCACCTCGTCCTTCACCTTGGCTTTGTCTCCTTTAGCATCCCCTTCAGCCTACAAAACGATAAGAGCAAAACTTGTTCTCGGATGTCGATCTTAACCTTGGATGTACTAGGAACTTAACAGAAATCGTCAGACATCATTCTAAAAACGTAGCCACTCAATTTTTATTTAAGAGGCCCTAGCGGGGATAGGGTCCAACTCAAGCCCGAGAAGCGCTCGGAAGCCCGGGCAGGTTGGCTGCAAAGCGCGGGAGAAGCTGGAGCCGGGCCGGGTGGCGCCGGAGCTACCAGATCCACCAGAGCCAGGCAGTAACAACAGCTGCAGATTGTGCAAACAAACCTCTCAGAAGGCGGAGCCCGGCGCCGTTGCTATGGCAGCCGTCGAGGGCGGGAGCTCTGGGGAACCCGTGGGCGGGGCGCGCGTCTCGTGCGCCCGGGACGTGGAGGTTGGGGGCGGAGCTACGCAGCGGCCCCGCCTCTCACGGCCACAGTTTTGGCGGCAGCGCGCTCCCCCGCCCGCCCAGCCGAGCGCCGCCTTCCCGCCCTTTCGGGTTTGAATCGCCCGCTCGCTCGCCCGCGGGAGGAGGGGAGGGGGCTGCCGGTGGGGGAGGGGGGCGCGGGCGGCCGAAGGGAGCGGGATAAACAGCTGCCAACATGGCTCCTCCTGCTGCCGCCACCGATTCTCCAATATGGCTTCTGGCGCCCGCGGGCAGCGCGCCGCGCAGGATTCGCCTGCAGCCCGACTCGGGCTGGACCCTCGCGCCGCGCCCGATCTACCGCCGAGTCCTGAGCTCGAGGCTAGCGGCGGTGGCTCCAGGGCGCCCGCGCGCTCGCGCCACGTACCTTTCTTTTGGGCATGGCGGCGGCAGGGGACGTCGGCGCTGAACGCGGGTATACAGCGGCGCGCGGGTTTGGTCCGTCCGGGGGTCGTCCTCGCTGCTTCTTCACACTGCTCGGGCTCCGGGGGGTTTATAAAGTTTTTATAGCGCTGGGAGCCCCGGACCGGTTAGAACCGGATTTCACCTCCCGCCGCCGCTCATTGGCCCAGTTGGGGTCACGTGGGCGGGGTTTAAACTCACCTCCTCTGGAGTGAGGAGGGGGTGTAGGGGGAGGGCGCTGGAGACGGCGGCGCGCCTTGGGGGAGGGGGCGCGGTGGGGGAGGCGCGCCTCGGCATCCGAGGTAATAAATGAGGGACGCGCCAGGCGGCAGGCTTGGGGTTCCGCTCCCGCCCAGACCTGGCTTTTGCAAACTACCAAGTTCCTTCCACCTTATGCAACCCTTCTAGCCACTTCTCCAAGCTGTGCGACACTGGGCACATCTCAGCCGCTTTCCTTCCTGCTCCCGCTGGGGGCCCCAGAAGAGGGGTTTGCGAGGCCTGGGAGCGCCGCCCAGCTCCATAGGCGGCGGGCGGCGCGCCGCTTGAGGCGCGGGAGGCAGCTCCGGGGACCACGGGCTCTAGTGGACTGAGAGCCGGGAGGCTAGCTTGGCGCAGTCGGACGTGCATCCTTTTGAGTTGCCACCTTGGGGAATCCCTCCGTGTGCCTCACCTGGAAAGCAGTCCACTGGATGTGGAGGTGTGGGCTGAAAGTGGAGACTTTCCACACAGGGATGCCTTTCGGGTACTGCGGGGCAGGTAGGAGCTGTCCTTTCAGCACCTACTGCTGAGCCGCCTCCCCAACGTTAAACAGCCCCCCAACATCTGCCGGTGGCTTCCTTAAATCCCTGCACGTCTGGCCCTCTGGACCCTGTCACAGAATGGTGGAGAAAAGCCGCCAACATAGCCCGGGAGCACGCCCCTCCCACTAAGCCCTCTGGGTCTGGGATCCAGCTAGCCCAGCTGCCCCCACTCAGCAGAGGCCATGGAACCTGGGCTTTGCAGATGCCACAGCTGGAGAAAGCCCTCCCAACACACTGTCAAGCTGGCTTGCTTTCGGTTGTGTGAGGAAAAGGCGGTTGAAGGGAAGCGCCGGGAGATTAGGAAACAAGCAGATGAACAGGTGTGGTGGCAAAGGGGCCCTTCCAGTGCACCCCAGCCCAAAGTCCAGCCTTCTAGAGCTAGCCAAGAGCACCTGAGGGAGGGTGCCAATTGCAGCAGTAAAGCAAAACGTTCTTTCGTTGCAGTTACCAAACAAATCTTAATATCTCAAAAAAAAATTAAAGTCCTTTTTGATACCAATAACAAACACAACTGGCTAACATCTGCAGCAGGGTGTTTGGTGCTCAGAAGACACAAAATAGGTCCCACCTTAATTTCTGAGGCAAGGGTTGAAGCTAGTTTGCCATATCCATAACAGCAGAAAGCAAACATCCACGAATTCAAATGGAGCATTTTGCAGTCTTTGCCTCTGGACAGCAGTGGCTCTGCCTCTCCTTCCCACTCCCACGGTGCCTCCTGAGGCAGCTGTCCTCCACCCCACCCTGTGCACCTTTCCCAGAATTCAGGTCCCCACGCAGGAAGACACCAGCCCCCTTAATCACTGCTACTGTACTCCAGTCTTAAGAGAAAGTCAGCCAGGACTCAACAGCCACGCTTGCTGGGCAGATTCCGCTTGCTGCCTCCAGCCTCTCCTTCCCGCCTTAATTGTAGGGCTCTGTATTATAGCCACAGAATTCATGCCTCCCTAATTAAAGCTGTCAACAGCCTCATTGTAAAGCTGGAAAATGTACAGCACCTGCTCTCGGGGAGCTCTGTGCCAGGGATTGGTTCTGGGGAGTGCAGGTGTATAGGGGCCTTGCCAAAGGGTGCGCTCATTGGCTCTTGGTTGCAGTGTCAAGCCTTTTTTGACTCTGATAGGAAGAAGATGGCCAGGAGTTCACCAGTGCCAGGCATCTGGGCACAAAATGGAGATGGAGAACAAGGCATAGAAATTAGAAATGTAAAGAGTACGTTTTGGGGAGGGAGGTGCTGGGCAGAGGACTTACAGACCACATGAGACCAGAGCGGCATTTGGTTGGCTTTCTGGCTAGTACTTACAGCTCTGGTACATCTGAAGCACAGTAGCTCAAGCAGACCTTTCTTCAAAGGTAGTCCTCTCTCCACCGCCCTATGGGGAGGCTGGGAAAGGATGCCACCTTGCCCCTTTCCTGCTGGGGAGAGTTGGCCTCACAGGCTGAGAGGGCTAGAGTAAGTTCTGCCATGCAGAGAGCAAACTGTCTCAGAGCCTACTTAGGGAGCCAGGTCCAAGAGTTGTGAGGACTCTGAAGACTGGAAGTGGGACTCAGTTTGAGATGCTGAGGGAAGGAGATGTCAACTGAGAAAGGCTTGGTTTTGTTCAGTCCTGATGTGTTGACCTGTGTTGGATTAGACTCTAGGACCTCTACAGGCCCTTCTGCCACCCTGTCTGTAGTCATGGAGGGGGCTGGGTCTCACAGGGGAGTGGAGCCTGGCCCCATGCCCTGCATGGGGGAGTAAAGCTTGTGTGGGCTGAGTCAACAATAGGTAATTGGATTGTAATCACCCGCCTGGCTTCCATGAGCCATTGGGGGGCTGAGCCTTTCAGTGAGCAATCAGTACTGCTAGTGGGAGGGGGTGGAGGTTCAATAGCAAATCCCAGGAGGAAAGCCAAGGGGAGGGGCAGCAGACGGCACATTTTCCTCCTGTCCCCCAACCCCTTTCTTCCCTGCCCAATAATGTTGGCTGCCTATCACTGAAAATTTACCAGTAGATCCAAATCTTTTGTGGAAGTCACATGGGGAGGGCTTAGGCAGGATCAGTAAAGGCCTGGGCTTTGGGAAGATCTCTTCTGCACGTTGAAGGATATGCTGGTGGAAAAAACATGCATCCAAAAACAGAGACAGGGCATATAGCTAATGAGTTAGGGTCCCCTGTTCCCCAAATGTATTAGTGGGAGGACTTAGATTTAGTGTACACATGAGAGATTCTATCTTAAACTTCAAGGGTAACTGTCACAGGTAGACTCATCAGAAACAGGGAGGTGCCTTTCCCAAAGAAAAGGAAAGGAAAAGAAGAGTCGGGGCCCAAGAGGTAGAGGGCAGGGTAATGTGGCTGGTAGCCAGCTTCACTTAGGCAGATGCAGTGCCCCAAAGTGCCAGCCAGTCAGCCCTTTTAAGTTCCAAGGCCTGCAGGAAGCCTTGGACTCGTTCTTCCCGTTTGGTGGAGAGTTTGTGCAAGCGTGTCCGTCGGAGTTGAGCATCCCCACTGGCCTGGAGCCCCTCTTGAAGCAGCTGCTCTGTCACTGCAGCCTGGTCCCTCTCCAGCTGGTGCCTCTTCCGCTCCTCAGCGTACATGTCTCGGGCCTTCTGCTAGAGAAAAGTAGGGTTTGAGGTAGGGATATCATTTTAGGTGTGGGATGGAGAAGGTGGGGGGTAGGGCACAGAGTGACCAAGTAGACAAACTCTGCAGAGTTTCTACCATTGGAAGGGCTTGGGAGGGCTAAGCAGTGGACTTGTGTTACACAGGCAATTCAGGAGCAGTTCATCTTGGCTTGTTTTGTGTGGAAGTGTCTGCATTTCTTAAAGTTCTTTTCAAGCTTACACTTAGAAACAGGTAAACAGTCTGATTTCTGACTCTTCCACCAACTAGCTTTGTGGCTTTGGGAAGATCCTCTCCTAGACTTTTACATTTTATTTGTAAAGTGGAGGTTGTGCCTACCTTGAAGAGAGGTTTAAAGGATTAGGGATAATAAATTCAAAACCCACTCTAACATTAGCAGGCAGAGAAGCAGCGACTTTATTTGTTATTATTGTCTACTGTCTGGGACAAAATACTCACTGGGTCTTCTTATGGTTGCTAGGTTAATATGCAGTGCCACTCTCCAACTGTCTAATCTGTTTTTAAGGTCTCGAACGAGACTTGTCTCCTAGAGTGAAGACAGGCTTGACTCTGAACAAATGGCCCTTCTAGGAACACTGTTAACTCTGTTAAGCCACTTACTGCTGCCTAGACTAGGTATTAGTTTCTAGTCGGCTCTCTCTTAGAAAAGAATCCTTGACAGCTCCATAAAGCCATCAGAGCCTGGAATCAATTCTGACAGGTGTTGACAATCAGTCTCTGGCAACACCTCCTGGACCCCACATATGTCTTTGGACAAATAATAAGCCCTTTTGAAAGAGAAGGACCACTCTGTACAGGAAGCATTTACTCACTTGACTATGTGATCATAAAAGGATAGTAAGGAAGCTTGTGGCAAAAAAGGGGGAAATCACTTGGAAAAGAAGGGGATGCCAATCTTGTGGCCTACAGAGCTCCTACTGAACAGAACCCATGAGCAAGCAACCTGGTGGAGTGTTTTTGTTTTTGAGACAGAGTTCCACTATATTGTCCAGACTTCTGTCTTCCAAGCAGCTGGGACAAGCATGCACTACACTGACCACTGAGCAGTGGGGTCTTCCTATAGGATAACTATAGGTTCTTCACATCCTGATGTTCTTTACCATATCCAACCTTGTGTTGTGGTATTTTTGTGTTTAAGTCTTGTTCTAATCAGCCTATAATATAAGCTCAGGCTGCCTTGTCTTCACTCTGTTCTGTTGTTGTTGCTGAGGGTTTTTCTAGGTAGCCCTGGCTGTCCTGAAACTGGCTGTCCTCAAACTCAGAGATCTGCCTCCCTCCTGAGTGCTGGGATTAAAGGTGTGTGCCACCATAGCCCAGATCCTGTCTTTATTCTTTAGGAGCGTCACCAACACTTCAACCGTCGTTTCACTGACTCTGAAAACATCTATGAGCAGGTCAGGCAAGGCGGTGAACTCTTTAATCCTAATACTCAGGAGCCAGGTGGATTTCTATCAGTTTGAGGACGGGCTGGTCTATATAGTGAGTTCTAGGACAGCCAGGGATACATAATAGACACTGTCTCAAACAAAACAAATATAGCACCCCGAATTATTTGGGGCGGGGGGAAGAGGATAGCTCAAGTTGGATCCCAAAAACCAAAAGGTGGCAGTATGTGCCAACCTAGCAGAATAGGTAACTTCACCTGTAGTGAGAGATCCTGCTGCAAACACAAGGGCAGAGGAAGGACTACTGGCAAAATGCCTGCCATGAACTCAATCCCTAGCCTCCATGAAAAGCTAGGAAGGAGAGCTCATTATAGTGGTCTACACTTTTAATCCCAGCACTCAGGAAGCAGAGCAGGCAGATCTCTGAGTTCAAGGCCAGCCTGGTATACAGTAGCAGGCTAGCCTGACCTACATTATGAGTTCTAGGGCAGCCAGGAGTACATAGTGAGACTGTCTCAAAAAGATTAATAAAACAAAACAAACAATATAGAACGTGGAAGGAGAAAATCAACCCAGGGTTGTCCTATGACCTCCACAAACACATTGTGGCACACTATACATCTATCTACATTACACACACACACACACACACACACACACACTAACACACATACCACACACACACACACACACACCACACACAGGTGCATGAATTTTCTCAGATTAGAATGAATTTGATTGAAGCCCCAAAATTCTAGTCCAAAAGATTAGAATTTCTATATTTCATTTTCCTTTTTAAAAAAAGATTTATTAGCCAGGGGTATGGTGGTGGCAGCATATGCCTTTAATCCCAGCACTCAGGAGTCAGAGGCAGGTGGATCTCTGTGAGTTTGAGCCCAGCCTTGTTTATAGAGTGAGTTCCAGGACGGCCAGGGCTACACAGAGAAACACTGACACTGTCTCAAAGCCTCCCCACCAAGAGGATTTATTTTTATTACTTTTTAATTGTGTGTGTGTGTGTGTGTGTGTGTGAGAGAGGGGGGGGGGGAGGGGAACATGAGTCCAGATGCCCACAGAGACGGAAACAGTAGATCCCCTCGAAGCAGGAATTACGGTGAGTGTTGGAAACGACGTCCTCCCTTGGATAACCAGGTCATCCTGTTAACCCACTGACTCGTTTCTCCTTTTCTCCTTTCTTTTTCAAATCAACTTTTTATTTGTAGGAAAACCCATAAATTGCCCATAGCACATACACGAAATTTTATTTACTTTAAGAATAATCCTGAGAGCCGGGCGGTGGTGGCGCACGCCTTTAATCCCAGCACTTGGGAGGCAGAGGCAGGTGGATTTCTGAGTTCGAGGCCAGCCTGGTCTACAGAGTGAGTTCCAGGACAGCCAGGGCTACACAGAGAAACCCTGTCTCGAAAAAACAAAAAAAAAAAAAAAAAAAAAAAAAAAAAAGAATAATCCTGAGAGATTACACATTCTATTTTATAGACCAGATATTGAGATTTGGTAACACAACAAATAGCTCTAGTCAAATATTTACATTAGATACTGCATATCTTACACAAAACTTTTCAATTGGTTGAAATAAACTGCCAGCTATAAATTTTCTTTTTGGATTGTAACATAATTTTTAAAATTACTTATTTAAAGACAGGCTCTTGCTGTGTGGCCCTGGTTGGCCTGAACTTTCTAGTAGAACCAGGTTAGCCTCAAACCTATGATGATCCTCTTACCTCTGGGGCCTGTGCTGGGATTACAGTCATCAGTTACCATGCCAGGCTCCAAGGTTTGCTCTGTTTCTTAAAAATGTATTTTAGATTTATTAATTTAATGAGTATGCATGTTTTGCTTGCACACACACACACATACACACACAATTACACCTTTGGAGGTCAGAAAAGGGCGTTGAATGCCTAGAACCAGTTGAGGATGGTTGTGAGCCATCATAGAGAAGCCTGAGGGTGAACCTGAGTCCTTTGCAAGAGCAAGAAATGTTTGAAGTCACTGCCCCACCTCTCCAGCCACCTAAGGCTTTTTCTTAATCTATGAAATGGGAAACAATACCAACCTCCCTGGGCTGATTTAGGAAAATGAGATAGAGAATGCTTTTTAGAATTGTTTGCTATTCTGTCACCAGGGCTGGTGGCCAGGGGCTGCATAGGCAAAGTCCTGGCCAAACCAATAGGAGGAGAAGGCCCACAGGAAGGAAAAGGAGAGCTCCCTGAAGACCTCTGGAAGGCTCAGGGTTCATCTAACAGGCAGCCCAGTTCAGTGCCAGAGGTGAAGAAGTGGTCAAGGCAGAGGCTGACCAGTACCTGCAGGACGGGGGCAGCTGATCCAGCTGGCCTCTGTACTTTACAGACAAGGATATGCAGGCTGAGACAGAAAGGGACTTGCTTTATGTCACACAGCTGGTTGAAATTCTGTTGGTTTCTCCAAAGTGGCTTTTTATATTTCCAACCAAAAAAGCTTTTGAGACAGAGTCTCTCTCTATAACCTGCCTTCCCTAGCACTCACTGTGTAGACTGGCCTTGAACTCCTGGAGATTCACCTGCCTCTGCCTCCAGTGTTAGGAGTAAAGGTGTGTGCTACCTGGCCCAACGTGGCTTCCTGAGGGACGGGAAGTAGACCCTGTGCCTATGGATAGCTGTAGTTCCTGGGGGAGGGGTGGAAAAGCCGACCTTCTTCTAGATCCCAACTGCCTACGTTCACTTGTCTGGTCCACGCCCAACCTCAGCGGTGCCCTAGGTTTTCTCCGTTATTTGCCCTTAGAAAACCCAAGAGAGTGGGACACAGTGGTGTACACTGGAATTCTAGCACACACCTGTAATCACATCACGGCAGATCAAGTAGGACTGCTGTGAGTTCTAGACCACCCTGGGCTACATAGTACCATGCAAGCTAGAGCTATAGATCGTATTTGAAAGAAAAGGGAGGGGAAACACTTCCTCCCCCGCAACTCAAGTTAGCCAAAGTCTTTCTTTTTGCTTCCTTTTCTTTTTGTCTGTGTACATGTATGTTCACTGTGTACATGTATGTTCACTTGCATGCAGGTCCGTGTGACTGTGCAGATGAGCATGCACATGCAAACCACAGGTCAACCTGAGATGGTCTTCTCAGGGACTGTTTACTTTTTTCTTTTTTGAAGACAGATCTGAGCAGTGACTGAGTATTAGGATTAGAGGCTTGCACCTGCTTACCTGCTCTGCCTTGGTTTTAAAGACAGGGTCTCAACGATAGCCTCATACCAATAAGGCTACAGTGGTTGACTTGATAATCCCAGGGTTCTTTCTGTCTCACCTCCCCAGCACTGAGATTACAACCACATGTCACTAAACCCAGATTATTTTTAGGTTTATTTTTAATTGTTTGTTTCTTTGTGTGGTATGAGTGTGTTAAATACAGGTGTCCATGGAGGCCAGAAGCATCAGACCTCCCTGGAGCTGAAGTTGCACACAGTTGTCAGTCACTCAGTGTGGGTGCGGGGTACCAAACTCAAGGGCGCTGGAAGAGCTAGCTGTATGCGCTCTTAACCACTGAGCCACCTCTCAGTCCTATAGCTGGGTTTATATGGTCCTGGATCAAATGCACATGCTTGCTCTGTAAGCACTCTACCAGCTGATGTGTCTCTTTAGGTCCCCCACTCTTTTAGGGTTTTCTTGAGATAAGAGTTTTACTATGTAGCCTAGGTGCCTTTAGGCATATGGCACTTCTCTTGTCTGATACCTGGGTCCTAGGATGGCAGGTATGTGGCACCATGCCCATGTGACAGCAGCCCTAAAGGTCAACGTCACTCCTGAGCATATATAATATCCTCTACGGACATCAACCGGGACCGCTGAGACAGGGTCTCACTAAGCAGTCTGGCTGCAAACGTGCTATGTGGCTGGGAAGACTATACTCATCGCTCCTCCTGCTCCACTGGCAAAGTCCTGGGCTACAGTGGGCACTCCCACTGGCATCTCCAGAGCACTCATTCTTTAAAGTGTCTGTATAGATCTTAGGCCAGCTTTGTGCCAGTACTCGAAGAAGCTCACTCTGAAAACAGCGTTCAGCCCCCGTTCTTCCACACCCAGAAGAAATAAAGAACGAGATGAGGCAAAGTCTTGAGTCTGCTGCTTGGCAGGTGCCTGGGTTTCCAGACATTTATGAAGAGACAGTAATAAGAGCACTTGCCGTGACTGTATGAGGCATCAGGGTCCATCTCACATCTCTCTGTGTAGCCCAGGCTGTCCTGGAACTCACTCCAACTTAGAAAGCCTTGGTCTCACAGTGCTGGGATTAAGGTGTGCACCATCATACCACACAAAGCTTAAACCTACCAACCAACTTACCTTCCTTCCTCCCTCCCTCCCTCCCTCCCTCCCTCCCTCCCTCCCTTCCTTCCTTTCTTAAGAAGCAAGTACAGATGAGAATAAAAGAGGTTTTTGAAGACTTGCTTATTTTATGTATATGAGAGTTTGCTTACATGCATGTATACATGAAGGTGCACTTTGTGCACGCCTGGTGCCCTCATAGGTTGATGAGGGCACTGGACTCTCAGGAACTGGGGTTAAGGATGGTTGTGAGCCACCACGTGAGTGCTGTGTAACAATGACAAGTGCCCTAAACTACTAAACCATTTCTCCAGTCCACAAAAAGGAAAGGAGAGGGGAGGGGAGGGGAGGGTAGGGTAGGAGAGGAGAGGGGAGGGTAGGGTAAGGTAGGGA